AACACAAGACACAAAAAAAAGCAAAAATGATGAGGGAAAACTGTGGAGAAAACTAAGTTATTAGCACCAACTGGGCGATGGGCGTTGTGTTTGTTGTGGGCGTGGTCGCTGCACTTGTAGTTTATGTTTACTGCATTCTGAGTGCGAGCGTGCGGCAACAATTTTTGGGCCAAAAACTCTGGCCATTGTCGTCAGTCTGTTTTCGAATTCTTTTTTGGCCGACAGAGAGAGGATATAGGATGGAAAATCCATCGGCTTTAAAAAGGGATTAAAGAAAAAAGATATTGCAGAGTTTACATGGACTTAAAAAAATATTACTGACTTAATCGGTATTGTATTGTATATTGTAGAACTAATAGAAATGAGAGTACCCTATGAAAGCACTCTTTTCGATTAGATAACAGATTATTATTTTTGAACATTTCAGAATTATTTTATTGAAACTGAAACTTCCAGGATTAGTTTTTCTTCTTCATCTTTTATACAATTTATTATTTTTGCACTTTGTGGCAAAATATTTGCGGCTGCTGGTATTAGCATTTTATTTTATTTGTACAAATGTTCTTCCGTATTTACTCTGGCCAAGTTTACCCAATTGTGTATCTGTTTGTCCACAACTCGTTTCGGGCAATTTCCAATGTTGGTCGCAGTACATCGAATTTGGCCTTTGTTGGCGCCTCTGTAAACACACTCGACTTGGCCAACCGATGAGGTTGAGGTGAGGTGAGCGCCGGGGAGTCTGAACATTTTGGCAGGGCCGTGTCTTGGCACGCCAGCACCTGTTCTTCACACACACACACACATATATATATATATACACACTCATACACCCGCCCTGCGAGTTGGCCGGGCCTAATAAAAATAAATAGCCATATAAAAGCGAAACGAAATTCATGGCAACGCCTGGCGATACAATAAAGCATATTATTTCGGCATTTATTTCCCGTCGCACCATCTCGGCGGCCATTTGGCAGGACTAAAGTGTTTTCCCACTCGGAGTGTTGGCACAACTTCGCCGGCTAATGAGTGCAAGAGCTACGTGATTTACCGAGATCACAGTCATTTGGCAGAATGCATCGGAAAGGGGCGTTTGCTTCCAGCTCATTAGATTCCGCTGCTCGAGAAACCCCACTACCTCTGCAGATAATTCCCGACTGAGGAGCAAATCGGAAAGGGGAAAGGGGAAAGGAGACTTCACTTCGCAACACAAATGCTTATTTATGCCCGATATTGCTCGAGTTCTGTGCAAAGTCCTTGTCGGCTATTTACTCTGCAGGAGCACTCCACTCGAGTCGAATGCATCCGGCCGAGAGGAATCGAAACGTATTGATTTATGGCTGCAACTGAGCGGCAGTCCAAGGTGGAGACACTTGCGGAAAGTTTGTCCTGGATCCCAGATCCTGCCAGCTGAAAGTTCAATCAAGTGAACTCGCAGTGGCTGTGGCTGTTGCTCTACCAGTGGCAGTGGCAGTGGAGTTCGGTCATTGATAAGTCATAAGTTGCTCGCCGCCTTGCCACACAAGTGCGCCCAAGTTGCGTCACAAACTTTGTCAAAGTCAAACACAAAGTTTCCCGCTGGCCGGGAAATGCCAATGGCTTAGATATTAGCAGTGCATTAGTTGCCAGTGCATTATTAATGACAAGCTGCGCATTGATTTTTACACTTGCCCCTTTGACAGCTTACTTTTTTCCAGTCTTACTGTTTTTCGTTTACCGCTTCATCAATATTAATTGAGTTGATTGAATGGACGAACACGAAAAGGCTTTCCGTTCCGAAATCCAATAACATTTGCACTTGGAAAAATGGAAAAAACCGCTTTCTTTGACTATAAATAAATACCATAAATAAAATGGCGAGAGATTTTGTTTTATAATTCGCAAAAGGGGCTGCTTTAATCTATAAATCTTTTCCATTCTTTTATTTCCCTTGCTGCTTTATGAATTTTTATGTTGGGAATTATTTATTTATTAAAGTAGCAGCTTTCACAGCTTTAAATCATAATAACGAAAATAGGTTGACCTGAAAAACATTTTCAATTAACGAGAACTAGATCCTTGTATTTTCTGAGTGCTGCCAGTGATTTGCTCGCCTCTTTGTTAACCCAGATATTGATAACTTTTCACATTAACTGTGCCGCGTGACCTCGTGACCTGTTGCATGTTCGTCCGTGCAGTTAATTACTTTGATTTATTTGAGAGTTATACACATGCGTGGTTCTCCTGTCACATAGTTCAAATCGCGCTTAATTACGGCGCCGTGTACTTACAAATTAACAAAATTGCTCACTGCCCAGATAAGCCCACCCACCCGGCCGCTAATTTATTACAGATTTTAACCTAGTTGCCAGCAAGCAATTCACCTGCCACTCGAGACTGAGCCGTTGAATTTATTGTTTTGTTAGACCAAAAATTACAGCGATAAAAAGCTACAAAGTGCTTAAGTGCGACATTCGAGGAGGAAGTTCCCTTTAGAAAAGACAGAGGACAAAGCTGGCATCGATAAAAATCGATAAGCATCGGCAATAAATTGCCAACCAGAATTCAAATAAAGCCAAATGCCGGCTAATCTCCATTAGGCAAATACGTTGAGCTCACCGAAAATGTTGTGACCCATTTTGGGCGTTATTGTTGCTCTGTTTTTTTTTTTTTTTGGGGCGTTGGATTTGGAACGTGGGCGGTGCGATTTGGGGTGGAAAAGGTCACTCTAAGTGCTTTTCATTGAGCACTGAACTGCGAACTGCGAACGGAAGCGGGCATAAACTTAATGGAATTTAGATTTCTTCATTACGGCAACAGGTGAAAGGAGCATCAAAAGGTGGCCTTTTGGCCCGACTTGATTACCTGCGCACACACATGAAAGAGATTCCAGATTTGGATCGCTTAATATTCGGGTTCATTTTCATGGGATTATAAAGAGCCCTCTGGCCCAAAGGTTAAATGCTTAGGCTAGAACATCAATAGCAAATTGATTTGTTCATGATAATTCGAAAAGGTAAAGAGGATTAGCCAACAATTGTGGATAATTGCCGAGGGTCCTGGGCTATTTTCATTCGCTCTTTCGAGGGAAAATTCCCTCAGAAAGTCGTTTGACCCCCTAAGGGAATTGATTGGAACGCATTGGAGCACGTGTCGTAAAAGTGCGCAGGGCGGTGCTGGCGGGAGTTCACGGTACAACATGAATATATGGCATCGTATGCGCCCGTGCTTATTATTTACATTCGGCTACAACATTGTCGCAGAATTCGAATGGCCAGTGCGGTCGTGACCCAGTCAATGCTTTCGCATGTGTAGTGCATACTACATGGGCACACAATCAAGGAGTTTCGTCCTTTGGTCCCGGCCAAGTTTTATGCTGAGTAATGGCCAGCCATATCCATTGCAATGCTGCTGCTTTTGCCGCTTTTGCTGCTTCTGCTGCCGCCAGTGGCCGTAAAGAATCGCACTCACAATCGCCATCGCAATCGTACTCGCACTCGTAGTTTACATAACAGTTTTACGGCCAGCACTTAAATGCCCTGCGAGTCATAAATGGCGGAGAGATATCAAGCATACGCCATGTACGCCCCGCTCCGGAACCAATCTTTTTGGCCCGATTGATATTCCTGCCGAAAGTGCCACTGCTGCTGCCACTGCGTTCATTGAACCCTTTTTGGCAATGATCACTGATGCTATGGCTTCTTCCACTGATGTTAATGGTGATGCTGCTACATTGTAGCCCTAACATACATGAACCCGGACTTATTTTCCGGCCAGAACATGCACAACATCCGCCGAGCAGCTTCCGTCTCGAATATTTACGCTCGGCTTCAGTCGCAGAAGTTCGTTATTAGAAAAGTTTTAATGTCCCTACCAAACGCACAACAAAACAGGCCACACTCGCCCAAAAAAAGACTGCCTAAATTGGTTGAGAGAAGCTAACTTAAAGGGGAGTATACGAAATTGGAGTAAGCAAGTACAAGAAAATTATTCAATATACTTTTTGGCAGAAGTTTCCTAAGAAGAAAATTTAAATTTACCACTTTTCTACTGGAAGTATTTTTTTTTTTGTATATTTACTTCCTTAGAAACAAAGTTTTTATTTGAAGTGTCAAAATAGAGATACTTTAAGCTTTGTTTCGACTTAAGTTGGATGGATTCCGCCGTCCAGCCGCAAATGTGAGCTTGTCAAGCGACTGGCAACGATCTGCTGTTGGCACTTAATAAGCTCCATTTGCGCCAGCCGCAAAAGTAAGGCGACCTTCGGTTTGTTGGCTTTTAATTTGCCATCGAAGGCTCTCGCTCGACTGAGCAGCCAAGTTTGATGCTGCCTGGGAGACGTCATCATCGGACTGGGCCGAAATTTACATAACTGAAAAAATATTGTGCGGGCGGCGGGTCTAAACGAGGCACAAACGCTGCCCTGCGGCTTTCTACTTTCCCCTTCCCCCTTCCCCAACCACTTTCCACTTGCCGCAGCGCTGCTTACAAGCATTTTTAAAGCGGGTTCCCTCGACACTTCCCCTTGGCTTTTTCGGGAGCAAAAACAGATGTAAAACTTCGGGCAAAGAAAAAATGCCAAAGCAGGGCAGAAACAAAAAATAAAAAGAGAAAATATGAATAAGCCGTGCATGGGGTCTGGCAGCCTTCTAGGCAAATGTGTTTAACATGGGGAAGCAGCGTTTGGGCTGCCGGGCTTTTCCACTCTTTTTGGCCAGAAAAAACAACATTGGCCAGAAAGTTAAAAGGTGGCCCTGGGCCACATACGACACATGCAACATAAATGGGACTCATGGAACACGTGGCGTCCATAAATGGTGCCGACTTCATCGATATTTCATTTAACCCTTTAATAAAAGATATGTCCCCGAAACTTACTTCATAACTTGTCTTGTCGCTCGCCGGCTCTCAAGTCTCCCAGGCGGCCAAGAAGTTTTCGGGGAAAGTTAAAGGAGCCTCCGAATTTAGCCGCTGGCAAATTGAAATTGATTACCAAAGCAAAACAATTGAGCGTTTTGTATGTATTTTGGTGGCGATGAGGCGGAGGGGTTTTGGGGCACAGTCCGAATGTTTATTTATACCAGGCAGTTGGGGTTCAATCGGAGCCTATTTGCATAAGCGACCGACCAGCTTATTACACAATTTAGTATGGAAATGGTGTGCGGAGTGAACTTGAACCTTACACTCGCTCCCAGCTCAGCTGGTTTTCAGCTTGGCCTCCGCCGACTTTCGCTGCTTGCGCACATAGGTCTTGTAATAGAAGTCGAAGAACATGGAGAACATGAAGATGTTCTGGATGAACCCGATGAAGGCGATGAAGACGGGGAACTGGCACGGATTCCGCACGATTACCAGCAGGAAGTGGAACGTGAGGTAGCCGAACTGCATCAGTTGCAACTGCGTGATGCGCTGCTTCCACCAGAGCAGGTTCTTCACAACGTCCAGTGATGCGGCAAAGTAGTAGGCGTACATCACAGTGTGCACGAGCAGGTTGATCACCCCCAGCATGGTGCAGTGGGAACCGCCTAGGAAGGTCATGAAGATGGACACCCCGAAGACCATTCCTCCGTGGTGGTAGACGTGCAGGAAGCTCACTTGCGAGTTCTTCTTGCGAAGGACTATGAAAACCTGTGGAAGTTCTTGGAGTTTTATATGGGAACGAAGAGATTTATAACTCCCAACTAACCGTATCCAGCAGATCCAGGTACTTGAGCATATAGTAGGCATACGAGGCATACAATGTTTTCATCATAGCAGGAGAGGTATCCGTGTGATTAACTGGCTGGCAAGTCCAACTGTATCCCGGTTGCAAGTAGGTGTTGCTCAGACCAATCACAAAAATTGTGGCGTTTGCCACCACCTGAACCACATTGTACACTTGCATCACTTTTTTAAGTTCAAAAGGATTTCGATTCTCCATCCATTTTGGACCGTAATGTAAAACAAAAGCCACATATAGACCCACAATTGCCAGAACGATCCACAGGTTGCCCAGCAAGGGTAAGTGTGCCACTCGAGGATCCCCGTGCTCGGCGTAGAGATCCCGCACCAGGCAGTACAGGTAGGCCACCATGTTGTGCCTCATCCTGATCGCGATTCTGTAATACTCCTTGCCAAAATGCCGGAAAGCGATTTACAACCCACGAAGGTCTTCAGTCTTCTGAACGGAACTAAGCGATCCGCCGGCATTCCGGTTTCGGTTCTCTATGTTAATGACCGCTAAATGAGAAGCGGCACGATTCGATATTAACCCGAGTCAGGCGTTGCACTGCCAGAGAGATTTGCTTTCAATGTTGCTGGTTTCAAAATTTCAAATTGGATTTACGCTCAAAAAAATACTGAGGAAAACTAAAGCTTTCAGTTTGTTACAATAAAAATTTTCGCAAATTCGCAGAACATTTTTAAACTAATCTTCTGCTTACTATAAATCCAATAAAAAATTGTTGATAAATGACTAGCAACACGATTCGATATTAACCTGAGTCAGGCGTTGCACTGCCAGAGAGATTCGCTTTCAATGTTGCTGGTTTCCAAATTTCAAATTGGATTTTCGCTCAAAAAAACACTGAGGAAAACTAAAGCTTTCAGTTTGTTACAATAAAAATTTTCGCAAATTCGCAGAACATTTTTAAACTAATTTTCTGCTTACTATAAATCCAATATAAAATTGTTGATGCGTAGCTCAAAGTATACAATTTCGTTATCTGTTATCTTTTTAAAAACAACAACATTGACTAAACTCTGCAACATTTTGTATTTATCTCTTTGAACTCGCGGCGGTCGGGGGTAAACAGGGTTTAGCTATTACTTGACAATGTATGGGAATTTATGGGCTATAACCAGCCGCTACGGAAACTTTGCTGAGTGGGAAAAAATGAGGTTCCATCCCCCTATCGCAAAAGTGGGCAAAAGTGGGCTGTGGGTGGAAGGGTGGTGACATCAATTTGGGTTACTCAACGTTAATCGTTTGGCTCGCAGCTTGCGGCTGCGAGATATATGCAACTAACCCAGTTTACAAAGCATGCCAATAAATTTGCAGCATAACTGCCAATATAAGCGCAACTGTTTTGAAATTAAGCCAAAAGAGAGAGGGAAACGGAAACGTCAGCTGCAGCATCTAGTATCCGGCAGGCAGGATCCCGGACTCAGGATCCAGCATCCAACATCCAGCATCTCGCATCCAACATCCAACATCCAAGTGACCCACTGAGCGACTCCGCCATGCTTGATAAATTCGCCAAGTCTGTACAATGGCTGTAAATAGCCGCGGGCATCGGACAAATGGCTCTTAAAAAACAACAGCAGGGGCAAAGCGGAGCGCTGGAGTAAAACGTAGCGAAGCCAACTCAGCGAAATAGGCAAAAGTGTTTTACGACCTGGCTCGAAGCGCAAAAGGAACGGGCTGCAGGTGGCCAATCAAACTGAAGCAGCTGCAATTTGTTTGCGCAACGTGCAAACTTGGCTGACATTTTGTGGTGGAAAGTTTTCAGTTTTCGGCCGGACTCGAGTTTATTTCGATAAGTAAATGTGCCAATTTGCAGGGCAAAATCAATCAGGGAACTGTTCGTGAACTGTTCTCCTTATTCCTTATTCCTTATTGGCACAATAAACCACGGCAGGTGGACTGGGCCATTTCACTTACTTTCACTCGTGTCCTTAAGCCGCAATTGATGCGTGTGTAAGGGACACACACACATAAACTCATATGAGGATATGTCCTTGGGGCTCCTGCGGTGACCTTGTTGTGTATGTGTGTGTGTGTGGCAGACATTGAGCCAGCCAGCGCCAAAACAATCATTTGCATTTCGCCTCCCCACGGACAATGTAATGGACGTCAGCTCATTTGCACAAATAAGCCATAACCATCGCACGTTCCCCCCGTCGATTGGCGTCCATTTTGGGGACTTCAGGAGGAGGGGGGTTCCTGAAATATCCGTCCGAGGAGCCGGCGATGTTGCAATAACGGTAATGGCCGCGGTAACGACAACAGCAAACAACAGAAATAATAATGATAATCATTTTGCGCGCACCGGAAGTATGCAAATATACGACACGAAGGACGAAGGAAGCAAGGCGAAGGATGCGGATACCCGACTGCTCGAATTTACCCGGCCAAAAGGAAAGTAACGGAAAGGCAAGTTAAGGTAAGGAAAAAACCCTGGCCTTAACAGGTCGACCTGAAAATTAAAAGTCCGCCGCGAATGAAGCGTTAATGACGACGAGTAAGTAAACAGTTTTTGGGGCGACAGCATAAATATGAAAATGAGTCCCCTCACCCGCCACGCCCCCCTTATGTCTCCCAGTCAATATATATACGTATATAGCTTTCTGTGTCGTTGGCCATGGCATGAAATGAAAATAATAATCTCTTTGGCCAGGAAATGAAGGGAAATTCAACAGGAAACTTTTGTGACGTGCCGCAAACAGTTCGCACAAACACACTCGACGAATGCGACTGTTTGTGTGAGTGTGAGTCTGCGTGTGTGTGTGAGTGAGTGTTTGTATTTAAATTGAAAGGTCCAACACAAACACAAGCCGGCCAACACTCATGCAGGTGTTAAACTGCGCGGCGTCTCTTTGTGTGAGTTGCCAATGCAAATTACAGTCATTTGGCCTGATACTTTTTTCCCACCCGCTTCCTCGGGAATTTTATTTAAAAACGCTGAAAAATATATGTAGTTTCGGCGGATGGGAAAATGCTCGCTGATTTTTTCCGCCATATGCTGCCCACTATCAATGGCATTGTTGCCTGTCACGCACTCGCACTGCGGAAAAACTATACAAATTTAATTGATAAACTGGATAAAACGGCTTTAAAATTGTATTTCAAAAAGCTCCTCTCAAAAGCATTGGTTTTAAGCTATTCAAAAGGAATTTGTTTTGATTTAAATATATCAAGAAACGAAAAAACCAATTAATGTTAATCCATTAACCACTCCTAATTCTTCTGTATATATTAAAAAAATAATATAAGGATTTATTCTGTTATGCAATTATTTTATTAATTACTTTTTAATGAAGTTATCTATCAATGGGCTGAAATTATAAGACTTAAATCATTACATTAGGTTAAAGTCAATGTGTAATGAACATTTGTTTGTATCTCGGTAATTAATTGTTTTTGTCTGTTTTTTTATTCAACTTATGTTTTTCACTGTGCAATTTTGGCAGGCTCACCTGTTTTGACCGCCGAGTTCCCTCCACAGGAATAGTAATAAAACTTTATGCGCACTCATTATGCGCCCAACCACCCAAAACATTGCACCTTTGAGGACTGTCATTAGTACATAGTGCATAATTTTCGAGACAGCCGACAATCTGTGCATGGGCGGCCGTAATTATCGCCCCGACAAGTGGATGGGCGATAATGGCTTGATTTCCAGGCAGGCAAAAGAAGGTAAATGGGTATTAATTATTATGATTATGGCTGGTCCAAAGACACTCGTTATTGGCATTGCCATGATGGCGCATGGAAAACATTCTGGGAAGGAACCTCCGAAAATCCCCCTTCCACTCAGCCAGTAGCTCGTTGGAGCGGAATTTGGCAAATGCCGAAAACTTCAAGGGTATTATATAAATGTTGGCCCTGGTCATGTCTTCTAAGCATATTTTGAATGCCAAGCAAATCCACAACGCGCCACGCCACTCCACTCCACATTTGCCCCATGTTTTAGCCATGAAAGTCACTTCCAAAGTTCAAGTCAATGTCGCAAAATGTTAACGGCGCGTTAATAATGCGATTAGTGGATGCTACGGACCCATTCCGATCCACCGACCCGCCATACCAGCCATTGGGTTCCCCAACTTCCCATTCAGACCCAACACCATGTATATGTATACCCACCGGAGGACGGAGAGCACATTTGAATGCGACCGCCCAACTGAAGAAACATGGCGAAATTGGCTTTAATTGGTAAAATAAGCATAGAAGGGGGAAAGAGTGGGAGTTTGGGCCAAGGAACATGAGTGCGGTACCGCCTTCGGTCCTTTCCGCCCTGGTGCTAATTAATAAATTTCTTGGGGATTTCTCGCTGCTCCTTCTTTTTCGGGTTGCCAGCCATAATTATCGCATGGCAATCGCCCTGGGGACACAGCGTGAAAATGTCTATGCTAATACATAAACTCATACATATATAAATATGAAATAGGGAAGAAAAGCTCGGAGCTCCTATGTGATCCTGAAAATCCCCGATAAGTGAAGCCTTCAATTATCCTCGCTGGTTTGGTGTGGCTGTCAGCGTCAATCCCCTGGTAATAGGATATTTTCAATTTCCATTTGCCCGCTCGTATATTTTTCAGTTTCGTATTTGTTTTAAGTTATGCGCCCATGGCTCTCCGGGGGAATCGTTCATTTTTTCTCCATCTCCATCTCCACCTCCACACCACAACTCCTCTTCCCTTTTGAACATATTTCATTGATACGCTGCTCTTGGCTGGTGGAAACACGACAGGATACATATACATACACTGAGCAGGAGGCTGTACATCTGGCAAGGGGCCGAGTTGGAATATTGTCAACCCGCCGAGAAGAGCTGGCACGGGTCGTCCTGGTCACGTAATTGAGCCCTACACCACGGGGGACCAGTCGGCCAGTCGAGTCGAGCAGTAGAGTCGACGAGCCGCTTTCTGGGCAATAGAAAATGAATTGTATGCACGGAAATATGACAAACAATCAAAACGAATTCGGGAAAAAACCGCAACACAAACCAACAAATGCGCCAGCTGAGCCAGAGATTTGTTTCCCCAGTAACCAGCAGCCAGCAGCTAGCAGCCAGTATCCAGTAACCGTGGGGGCTGCGATGGTACATGGCCCTGTGAGTTAATGGAAAAGGAGGCGTGGCCGGCGAGAGGCTGAAAAAATCCTGGACGCCGGGCACAAGCGACAGCGACTACGGCGACGGCAACGGCGTCTGATGGAAATTTATTGCTGGCAACATACCCAAAGGGATTCGCAAATATAATACTATAGTCAGTTCGCTGTAGCAGAAGCAACCAGTCACTGAGAAAATTCGTATTATATGTGGGGAAAACTTAAAACATACTCAGAAGTATTTTAAACGGAATTATCAAAGTGATCGCAGAATAAAGATTTTTAAAGTGGAATTTATAATATATTTAAAAATCCCAAATAATTTTATATTTTTCTAAATATCCAATACAACACAGAAAGAAAACTTATCATGAATTCACTTCTCATACTTCAAACATTGACTTTTCCCGCAGTGCTGGATCAGTAAATGGAGGCAGGGACTGCATACAAACACGTACTCCATGTCAGGCCGTTTGCCAGCCCCAAGCTCGATCCCTCCTGGGCTGGACCCCTTTCCCTTCCCGCACTGCCAACCCTGTACTAACATGGCTCAGAGTCTGCGGAACAGAGCCAGCGAATTGGCAGGCGGGAAAAACTAACCCTATGAACAATTTCCCAAAAGCATCTGCAAAAACATACAAAATGCGGTTTTAGCCGCTGAGAGGAAATCTCCATGGCGGTGGTGAGGGCGAAAAATCTGTTGAAAAAATATATGACAGCTAGAACATGTTAGCAGTTTTTCCCAGCGCTCCCCCGCCCCCCGTCCCCGCCCCCGCTGCTTTCCATACCCATCCCCCCGAAACTTGCCGACAAACAAAGCTGCTGTGTTGAGCCAAAAGTGAGCTGCAAGCACGCACTGTGCATATTTTGTTATGAAAATTTAAGTGAAATCACTAAAAATGCCAAACAAAACAGCAAGATATGCAAAAATGCAGCGTTTGTGCGGAGTGAGTGTGGGCGTGGCAGGAGCGGTGGGCGGAAAAGCCCTCGAGGCGGAAAACAGCTGTTGTTTGTGTTTGCCGCTGTCTGCTGATGATGCTCCTGCAGTCTTATGAAAAATTGTTGTCAGTTTATAAACTGGTAGCTGGTGGATGTGAGCCACTGCGCATCCTTCAAGTGCATCACGTGCACCAGATTCTCAAACAGGCAACTGATGCCGGAAAACCGAGGCGACGGACGAGGGGGATTGCACGGCTCATGAAAATGGGTCAAAGCTGGCAAGTTTGGCCAGCGGGCGGAGGTGGATCGCTTTTCGCTTGCAGTTTATGGCTCGTGTTACTCAATAAACATTTGTCAAGGCGATGCAACCTTCGCACCCAACAATCCGCCCAGCACCCCCGAGTTTTTCCCCTTTCCCTTTCCCCACCCCTGCTTGGACGTCCCGCCAATTTGCTGCTATCAGAGCCAGCAGCAAACCATTTTCCTTTCGCTTTTCCTTTGCGAACTCGGCTCCCTTTTCAGTGCGTTCCAATGTCAATTGTAACGTTTTATTGCCTCGTTCTGTGCACGTGAAAAAAATCATTGTAACTTCAGAATGTGGATTTGAAACTGAGAACAAAAGGTTTCAAAAGTTAAATTACAATAGGTTGAGCTACTTCCGCTTTATAAGCTTTAATTGCTTTTTGAACTCTGGTTTGTAGTCACTTTAATCGGGCATAATCTTTATTCCTTCACTTCATTTCTTTCAATAGAGCTCAAAATCATAATTTTGTTTTACAATTGAACCCATATTTTTCCCCCTGTATCAACACCCACATAAAGGCAGGGCCAACGCTAAAGGCAACTGGCGCACGAAGAATTTATGATCAGTGACAAAAGCACATTCTCACCTTTGATATAGCTTTACTGCCTTTGCCCCTTTTTCCACTCTATATTGCAGATGTAGCTGGGATAAGAACAGGTCTGTCTTTGGTTTGTTCGGTTTTATTGTGCCCGCCCTTTTGTGGCTCACTGGCTGTGGGTGGGGATGGCAGGTGGAGCAGTTGGAGCTGGGGGTTAAAATGGAAGTGGGGTATGATTCAAGCCCCTCTTATAACCGAAAAACCCACTCTAAGCCCCGCCCACCTTGGAAAAGTCCGAAGCCCGAGAGCGCCCAGTGCCACGCATCGATGGCTCTTTTATGCGCTCCGCAGTTTTTCGTATATTTTCCTCATTTTTTTGCAGCCCTCTGCCGCATTTTTTGCACAGTGTTTGCCTTCGGATTTTTGCGATAATGGAGACAAATGTTGTGCTCTTAAATTTATCGATTGGTTGGCGAAAGTTACCAAAGGAAAATATAGCCCTGGATGGTGAATTTGTTTTTATGGGTTCGCTCCACCACTCGTTTGCTCGTTCGTTCGTTCCAACGTTCGTACGTTGCGTATACGCCCCGTGTTCGCCATTTCGCTTAGCTTTAAAGTTGGCTGGCGGCGCACCTGAGTTTTCAATTTATATCATGTTTTTCATGGCCTAATAGAAGCAAAGCAAAGTGGCAGACAATGGACTTCGAGTCCCAGATAAACCGCTGCCGAGATAAGCCAACTATTTGTGCAGAATTTTCGTCTGTTTTTCTCCAGTTTCCCCCCTTTTTTTTTTGTTTTCCCGTTTGGCCGGGGGAAACTTTGCAATTGAAAGTTCAGCGTTTTAATTCGGAGAGAGGCAACTGCTTAAGTTGCCGCGGCCATAACGAGTTATTAATTGTGGCTGGGGTTTTTGAGGCATGTGCGGCGGCTTAGTGGGTGGAAAAACACGCTTGGAGGCTTCGAGGATTCGCGGAGGAGTGGCTCAGCTGACCGCTCCGCAAATGACCTCGGTCTCTTTCGCCATTCTCTATCTCGTGGTAAGCTTCTGCTCTATTTTTTCGCACTCCTCGCCAGCGGCTTCAGCATTAAACACCACAACGTGCTCGAGGACCCCGGCGCCTGGATTTATGCAGCGTTACATTGGCATTAAAATAGCAAAAAGGGATTACGGGGAAAGTGGGAGCGAGCTCTCGTATTTTATTATATTTTTTACATTATTTTTTTTTTCTCCCGCCAGCGCTTTTGGGCCCGTCCCACTCTCCCTCTCTTTCTCTATTATGTAAAAACATAAATGCAACTTGCGTTGAGTGCTGCGCGAAATAAAAAGCGATGACTGCGAAACGATGTAGAAATAAATGCACAGGAAAATGAATATTGTAATTAAATAGATTTTAAAAAATTTTAAATTAAAATTCTTATGCCAGTTTGAAACCCATAGGAACTATGCATATTTTAAAGCTTTTGAGTGCTTTATAAATTCAATTAAAATTGTGTAACACACCATTTTATTTCCCGAGATTAGAGAGTGTTTATTTTATGACTTTTTATTTTTGTTCGGTTTTAGTATGTATTTGTTTGCTGTGCATTAGAAAAGCTGCACAGCCCCCTGCCGCAGCTGCCCCATTCCACGGAGCTATTGTTCGAGCTGTAGCCCGACTGGATCAGATGTGACTCGAACCGTGGGCACTATATATATATATAGAACGATACAGGGGAAAAATCGCGGGAGGAGTGGGGCGGCGAATCACTTACCTCGATTTGAAATGGCGGCCTCGACGGTGAACCCGCCGCTTCCGGCGTGCGCGTGCAGCAGCCATCCGAGGCTAATTACAATCAGAATGGGGCAATTCATTTTGAGCGGAGCGCGGTTGCGTCGCTGGCTGATTTTCCTAATGCCGGGGGCAGTGGGGGGCGGGGCCAAGTCGCCTGTACGTATGCTACGCGAAATTATTTTCATTGTTCCGCGCTCGGCGCGAATGACGTGGAGCTGCTGTGTTCCGGAGTTCGCCGCCTTTTCCCGCTTTGTTATTAAATTTACTGGAGTTGCAGACTGCTCTCTTTCCGGTTCTTCTTTTTGTACGCTTTAAGTTTTCATTTGGTTAAGCGCCAACATACTTTGCATAGTCGCTTTGCCGCTTTGTTTAATTTTGCAGTTTTCCAGTTTATTTTCGAGGTTTTTTCTGCGTGCTAGAGTTCTTTTTCCTAATTAGAAGTGGGGCGAGAAGGGACCACAAGCTCCCATGTATTGCGCACTTTTGTGCGCTTTCCCTTGACAAATTGCGGCAGTCTGATGTGAAATATTTTCTAATTAATTTTTATTGCCCTTGTTGCCTTGTCTTTATTGTCTTTGTTGGCCTGGACAACTAATTATCACTGTTTTCCTGCCGTTGCCACAAGTAAATTGTGATTGGATTGTTGGCCAGAGTATCTGCAACGGAAATGTGGAAAGCAAATAAATAATTATTATTTTTCAGTTGCAACCTGGCTGTTGCAAAGCTAAAGTTTTTGCCTCCGCAGGCAGAATAAAAAAAAAGAACTACACTCAGCTTTTTGCGATCTTTAAGCTAAACTCCGCTTCCACTTTGGGCCGCAAACTTTCAAGTGCAGTGAGCTCAGGAATGTTTTTAGGTGCTCAAAGCAAACATTAAAGCATATATCCTGTTCTCGATGTGTGTGCGTGTGGCACTCACATGCGCTCTATAAACCCCCACACACATAGACACACACACATACACCGAAATGCGTCTGCAAAACTTCACTGACACGCAAAATTACCCCACAAAGTGCAATTAGCACACAAGTTAAATTATAAAAGTTCCGTTTTTTAACCTTTTTCCCACAGCGCTGATCCCGCACACACACACACGTGCACATGCACAGGGGAAATTCGAGAAAATGGAGGGAGAACGGCGAGCCGGGAAAACAACACTTCAAGAGCAAAGTCCAAAGCCAAATAACAAATTGTTCCTAGGGCGGCGAAACCCTATACCACCAGTCTCCCATCCCCGCCCCTTGTTCCATATTTAATGACAAAGTTTTGCATAATTTTATGAGCTTGCTGCGTTATCCTTGCCACACACATAGACTGGGATATATACACACATGCACACAAGTTTGGGGGTAAGCCGAAGAAAAATCAGCAAACTGAAAAGTTCAAATTATTTCATTATCGCTTCCGTGCAGGAGAAACTACGGCAAAAAAAGAATCTGCTCCAAAACCCATAAAAACAAACTGCGACCCAGCAGCAGGATGTCGTGGTCAGTGGAATGGGTCGCGAGTGCTCAGGAAAAAATGAAGTTATAAATTTAGATTAACCCCATGCAGCCGACGGCAGCGAGTCACTTTCACTGGGACGCCGAGCTTGAAAAGTCCATTAAAAGTCACTAGGCAGCCAGCCGGCGAGTGGCTGGTCCATAATTATCTATCGTTTTCATTATTACCCCGGGCAGCCAGTGCCGTGGCATCAAGTATACGCCGCGTGGTGCGCTTATATGCCTCTCATGTCCTGGAGGAGCAATAAAATATTTGTATCTATCCCGAACCGAGGCAAAGTAGGTCGCGTAGGTGGCGGAGCTACAAATCTGCGACGACCATATAATTACTCAAAAAGCCACCTCTTGCAGAGAGATCTTGGGGTTAGGATAGCCGGGAAAGCAGGGAGAGCCTGGATGGCACGGCTTTTATGCGCGATGATGCCGGCAGAAGGCTTTTATCATGTAGGCGGTAAATAGCCGTAAATAAACAGGACGGCGCATAAAACGGCAACAAAAGACGCGCAGGACAAGCCCAGGTTGCCGCTGTTGTCATCGCCACCGATGGAAGAGCATTAGCCGGAGGATATAGCCACTTGAAGAAATAATTGTTAAATCGGACAACAAATTCCCTTTTTTTGCTCATTGTGAATAATTTACCCGTCAATTGGTATCAATTTTATTCGTATAGATTGATAGAAATATATATTTAACCAATTCATTTAAATGCAAATTTATGAATTCTGAATTTGAAAAATGTGTTAATGTAAATAAACGAAGTAAATTAAATCTTTACAAAATTCGAATTTTTATACAAACATTTACTACACGTATTTATGAACTGTAATTTCGCTGGATAAATTTGCATAATGCATGTGCATAAATCAATCAAAAAGCGTACAAATGTTTTTATATTTAAAATTTAATTGGCAATTTCATATGAATTTTTAAATGATTGGCTTTAAGTGCCCCCTTTTTCAGCGCAGTGCAGCTGATGCTGCTGGCCACTGTTGTGGAGGGCCAAGGTTATCGGTTTTATGGGGCTTTGGCCTACAGATTTTTATATGTGTGCCACATGCTGTGCGCCGCTGCCTTTATTTATGACACAGCCAACCCGACACAACAACGCTGGGCAGCTACAAATTTCTGAAGTCCTGCAATTTGATCTCGGTGTTTCGGTGTTGGTCAGAGAGCTTGGGCACCGGCTAAATGTTTTAACATTTTATCGGGCTCTTTGTTGAGCCGCTGCGGTGACTGCGGTCGTCTGGTGGCCGCCATAAAAGTTTAATATTCTAATAAAGCGGATTTAATTATTTAAAAACAACATTGCCACGTCCGAACGCCGGCGGTTTTTAATTTTTACGCGCCCTGTTTCGCTGTCGCAACTCGCCACTCGCAACTCGCAACTGGCAACTTGAGTCGCCTTTTGCCTCCTGCTGATGCCTCGACTTTCGTCTAAATTGCACTTTGCGGTACAATTTCCAGCTGCAAGTTTGCCAGAGCAAGTCGTAATTAGTTTTTGCTGGTTTGCTGTGAAACTGATTTTCGCTTGACGGGCGGAAAAACCGGGGACGTGGTGTGGAGTAACTGAATCCGAGCGAAAAGAAATAGCTTCGTCTTTTGTCAGCCCGGCGTTCTACCAGCCCCGCCTCCTCGCGGTTGACTTGCGGAACTTTAAAATGGGTTAATTGCATTGTAAACTAAACGAACAAATGGCAAACAAGTGGCACAAGAGGGCAACAAGACAGCCAAGCAGCAGTAAAAACAAAAAACAAAAAAAATGAAAAAACTCAAACAAGAGCAGCTTGCAGCAGCAGATTCGATTTGAGCTTTGGCTTATTTATAAATCTGCAATTTCACCCCTTCGCAGGGTGGCTCATTCTTTTGCTAGTTTCGCTTGGCAACCGACGAGTGCATCATTAAAACAAGTAAGTAGCAAAAACTGCGGTGCCTCGACTATAAATTACTTGCTATTCATTTCATCGTCATTTAATAAAAGTTTAAAAAGGATAATATGGAGAATTTTACTACTATATAATGCTATTATCAGTAACTTATTGAATAAATAATAAGTCTTAAATAGTTTCATATAGATTTTAATAAATAAAAATACTTGTTTAAGGCAGACAAATTTATATCTAGGCCAACCAATTATTTATTCCAGGGTATAGTTAGCCAACTGAAATAATCAGTAAGCTTGGCAGATAAAGAGCTGGCAAAACTCATTTGAAATAGCAGCGACTTTCGAGGCGTGTAATCAAAGGGGAGAATAAAGCAAAAATATCTAGTATAAACGCTCAGTCCCTAGCCCATTTTCTCTGTGAATTTTCATCTGGCGACCTTCGGCAGTGAATTATTTGCAATTCCCGGGGAAACGACGATGACAGCGACCATGGGCCCCACATTGTCATCAAAATGATTAACAAGGCGGCCACAATGTTGCCAACTTAGAGCACAAAGGCGGCTGGGTGAAAAATAAGAAAAATAATTCCAGCCAAAACCCTTCACACACGCCACAAAGAAGGCTGCGTGCAAAGTTCAAGCCGAACACTTGCCACAAACTCCGGCGGATTGACACGGCAACAATGTGGCAAGATGGTGGCCCCTCACGCACGGGTATCCCCACCTAATATGCAGTTGACAAGTTTTAATGAAAAAAGGAGAAAAAATATTACATATATAAGGAGAAGACGAACGACAGGATGAAAGTTGAAGTAGAAGAAGATGTAGATTCAGCCAGCTCGATAAAAGATTATTAAAATTTTCCAAACGAATGGCAAAAGTTCGCTGCAGCAGTTTGTCAAAGGTTCAAAAGGTTATCTGCAGCTCTCTCTCACATACACACACACTCACACGCACACACATCCTCGTACACTGAGAGTCTTACGGTCGGAAAAGCGGTGGAAAGTCACTCACTTGACGGCCCCTCAGTTCACGTGTGCGCGGGTCTACAAAGTTGACAGACATTTTCCACAAGCAAAAGTCAAGCACCCATCTAGCACTCGACTTGCATGCGAATTTTCTATACACACATGGGGTGAAGAAAATGGGGCTAAACTAAATGGAAATGTTTTCAAAAGTTGTAAATAAATGTTGAAAATTATATGGTCTAATGAATTTAATTTCTAATATTGTTCTAACAAAAGGTGTCGCAAAATTTTAAGACCACATCCAGTATTAAGTGCTAAACTGTTGACCGCAACTGTGTCCCCCCTCCAAGTAAAGGCTTTAAATTCAGCGTTATCTCTCCGCAAGCAGTGCAAATTAAATTCTGGGCTCACCGGACAGCCGAGGTAGCCTGAATGCCCGTACATGAAATATGAAAGTAATCTCCGCATATATTAAGGCATTTGACGGCTGCTTTAATATGCAGCCAGCCGGCAAGCAGGCATCTCGGCAACTCGGCTCCTAGGCCCTTGATACTTTGCATTTTTGCTGAGGCAAACATAATTCGTCTATTATGCAGGCTGCCACAGAACAGGACGAGCACACACATGGGATCGCATGGGGAAAAGGACATGGGGCCGGCCGTTCGTGCAGCTGGAGTTCATAGATCCTGACTGCCGCTGTATTCACTTGGCAATTACTGCTTTATTTATTATGCCGAAATGGATTATCCCTTGCAGTGCCCGGGGATGCAATTTCTGCTCGTGCTGCTATTTTGTGCCGCCGTCAACATTTTTTCCCCTCCCCCCTCGCCCTTTCCATGCTGGAAATTTTCCGAAGCACTTGTGTCGTCGCTCCCAATGGAAAATATTTGCATGGAAGAATTGTGTGGCAACAAGAAGAGCCTACGGCTGCGTTTCTCCACGAGTGCCTGTCATTCATGTATCTAATCCAGTGGTTGCACCGTTTAAAGCGAAAATGCTCCGCACAGATAGTCCCTACTCTCAATTGAATTAAATACGAGTAAGACTTTCGAATGGCCTTTAATACGGGGGCTTTGAACGCATTTTGCTGCAGTTTAAATGCAAATTCCTGGGCCGCATTGTTCGAGCTGCGTGCTTACAACTGCTGTGCCGGACATCGATGGCCTATGGCGCACGGCGGCATTTGTAACAAATTCGATGCACACGAAACACATAAATCAAATCAATAAAATGACAGCATGAAAAATTGCCAACACAAAAAACCGCAGGCCAAACCATTATTTTGGAGTCAAAAAATCGACAGCGA